ACTGGACTCAGATGACCATCAGAAGAATCAAACAAGTCAGGCTTGAGGCCAAGAGAAGTTTCTACACTGACCTGCATTTTAAAGTCCAAGGCCATTACTTTAGCATGGTTATGGTTTTAAATGCCTCAGGGTCAGAGTGACCAATCTGGGGTACCTTAGGCCTAATTTCAGAAGGTGAGTGCTCAACACTTACTGAAAATTCAGTCACTGAACTAAAAAAAAAAAAAAAAACACAACAAAAACACACATACAAAAACTAGTCATTATTAAAGATCTTTGCCTTACATATTATAAAATGTTAAAATTTTAAGAAAACCCAAACAATATATTTAAAATAAAAAGACAGTTATTGCAATCTGACCCTATGCAGGCCAGGTCTGCGTTTAAGTATGTTCTATGGAGAATTTCACATCACCACACAGTGCAATGTAGAGAAGGAACAGGCAATTCAGAGCAGAACATCATCAGACCTAATACAGTGTATTAAACTCTATACAAAATGGAAATGCAAGCTGTGCTCCAAACTTTGAGTTAAATAATACAGATTTGAATTCAGGTGTAATTTGAAAATAGATGGGAAAGTCAGCAAGGGAAGCGGTCAGTTGCAGCAAAAGGTAATAACTGTGGTAAGTGTGATGTGACAGACTAAGCTAGTGCTAAGTGAGCAAAGTGGGGCAAAGTCAGGGAAGAGAGGGCTGGAGCAAGAGTGATGGGAGATTGCATTTCTCTGTACATGTCAAAGTACAGAAGCAGCAGCAACATTCTCCATATGTTGGGGCCTAGAGAGCTAGGACTTGAAGTCTTTTGTACAGATGGGAAGAAGGAATTAAAAAAGTGAGTTTAAATAATGTCATTAATATCTTTACAGGTACAGTAAACTTCCGATAATCCGGCACCTTTAGGACCCAGGGGGTGCCGGATTATCAGATATGCCGGACTATCAGAAGGGGGGGGGCTATGAGGGGTCTGGAGTGGAGTGGGAGGGGATGCCACCCCAGGCCCCTCATAGCCCCCCCTTACGATAGTCCGGCTCTGCCCCAGGCATCCCTGATTCAGCCTCTGCTGGTCAGTTTCAGCAGCAGCTGAATCGGGGATGCCTGCAATAGAGAAGCTGGGGTGCTGCCGGGGTGGGGCCCCGCGGC